CTGTAGATGAGGAGGCTGCATTAATTCGCGGGGAGTTACACTTACATCAGGAGAGGATTTAATTTACTTTGATTTAATTTATTTATTTTGCCATATCCACATGCATATTTATTTGAACGGTACCATTTTTAAATGGCGTTCACTTGATAAAATCTTGTTGCGACCTCTAAGTAACCTAATAATTAGAATTTCCTTTAGGATTTCAGTGTGGTTGGATGCATGGATTACACACATATTCTCACCATCACACCTTCCGAAAATTAGGCTGATTACTGTATGGAATGGAAGGATGCCAGATGGAAGGGTAGTGCAAGATATATGCCGTAACCACCACCACAGCTGTTAAATAAACACAAATTATTCACAGTTTATTTGGTCATCTTTATGTTCTACAAATACAAAAGCAACAAATTATTATTTTCCCTGTTGGATTTTAATTTAATATTGGTATTGTGGCCATCTCCTCTTCATCTGTCAGTGGTGCTGGTGAAGGTTCTCCTCCCATTTTACGAGTCTCTGCCTTCTTGCTGTTGGCTTCTGAATAAAAGTCAAATGTTTTTCATTACCCTAATTAAGAAATGTGGCCTGTTGGATTAGAGAACATTTAATTATGTGAAAAAGCATTAGACTATGTGGGAAAAGCTGCTGCACATTGAAATAGTCAGATATACACTGAATGATATTTATTGAATGTCAAATGTTTGTAAAGTCATCTAATGTTAGCCTACACCCATTTCACGCTTGAAGCTTTACCTGATTGAATTATGTTTTTGTTTAATTTTTTCTGCTGCCACTTTTTTTTTTTTTGCCCTTGGGATACCATGAAAATGAATATTAGTTCAAGAAATTACCTTTCTGCCGGTTTTCACCTCTGATAACATTAATTTAGAATTAAAGTTACGTATTCCGTAGTATGCTGAAGTCTTTTTGGCGGGAGGTATTGCCATGGTGAATCATAATTTCGGAGCTCCATTGATCATGGCTTTTCATAGTCATTGAGTTTAGCGTGTGCACCGAGTCAACCTACTCAGAGTGGATTGAACTAACTCTGTTCAGCTGTTCTGAAACCGAAAACTCAGAGTTTCCAATCTAAGGGTAAGTCAACTCAGAGTTCAAGTTTTAACTCAGAGTTTGTTGAACCTCCTTTCTGGAATACACCCCAGTTTCATTAGAGGACGACAATTATCATCAAATATTCGACAACTTTTAAATATTATTTTTTTCCCATCCACCTCTTTAACCAGTGAAATAGTCATCTCATAAGATGCAGAAAATGTATACGGGGACACTATACTGTCAACAAGCACCATCCTTCGGATGAGACGTTAAACTGAGGTCCTGACTCTCTGTGGTCATTAAAAATCCCAAGATGTCCTTCGAAATCGAGTAGGGGTATATCCCCGGCATCCTGGCCAAATTTGCCCATTGGCCTCTGACCATCATGGCCTCCTAACCATCCCCATATCTACTAATTGGCTTCATCACTCTGTCTCCTCTACACCAATAAACTGGTGTGTGGTGGGCATTCTGGCGCACTATGGCTGCCGTCGCATCATCCAGGTGGATGCTGCACACTGGTGGTGGTTGAGGAGGTTCACCCCTTCCATGTAAAGCGCTTTGAGTACCCAGAAAAGCGCTATATAACTGTAACAAATTATTATTATTATCAAAATTAATTCTCCCCATGTAGACTGGTGTAGGTTAGAAGCACAGTCTTGCTCTACATCTTCGCTTTCCGCCTTGGTGTGTGCTCCTTCGTCCAGTCGCCTCTCAAAGTACACTACAAACCCAGTTGTTTGTACTTCTCTCAGGATTTGGAGGCAATTCAGACAAAATTTTAAACTCGCTGCTGCTTCTCTTTTTGGCCCTATTTGAAATAATTTATTGCTGCCTTCAAACTTGGATTCTGCTTATGTTCTATGGAAAAACAGAGGTCTCTCATATTGTTCTGATTTATTCATTGATGGAGTTTTTGCAACTTTTTCTAATCTTTAGGAGAAATTCAGTATTCCACAATCTAACTTGTTTTTTTTTCCAACTATGCAATTTTGTTCGTTCTCTTTCTCCTTCTTTTCCAGACTTGTCAGAACCATCTTTGAGAGAACCATATTTTTAATCAAATAATGGAGCCATGTTGAGCACAAGAGACTAGTTTTAAAAACCTTAAAAAATCTTACTAACCCCAAACTTTTGAACAGTAGTGTATATAAAAATTATATATGTAAAAATGCATATATACTGTCACACCCCAGGACTTTTTGTTGTGTTTTCTTCCCTCATGTGCTCCGTGACTTAGTTTCCCCCCATGTCTGTGTCATTCAGTTCACCTGTGTCTTGTTAATTATCCTCGTTTGCCTGTGTATTTAGTTCCTAGTCTGTCCTGTGTTCCCTCGTCCAGTGTTAAAGTTGAGTTGTGTGTTTGTTACCTGCCTGCCTTCTGTGGATACCTTCTTTGTGTATTAATTAAAGACTGTTTCCGTTCATCTTCTTCTTTGTGTGCTCATTATACACCGCACCCCTGATATATACAGTATATGATGACTGAAATGTTCTTTTTACTTTGAAAATCTAAATGCAATTTAGTTATTAAAAGTATTTATTTTCCGTAAATGTAATTCAGTAAAAGTAAATTACGTTTCAGTGGTACTCTGTAGCAAATTCCCCAAAATAATACACCATCTTTCCAAGGAATTTAAACCACTGCTTACTAAAATAGATCAAGATTACATTACTGTGAAGTGTAAACGTGAAAATTATATATATATATATATATATATATATACATATATAAATA